CATGCATGCATGCTATAGATGTTTCTCTTGAATCTTCTGCGCTATAAGAGAGTGGCTACAAACAAAACGTTTTGCTTGCGACTAACTCGTCAGCCACGTATACACAAGTGCTTCATTTCGCCTAAGTGGGGGGTTCTCAACTTATTGAAATTACTTGCATGGTTAGATGACTTCCCAGCAATATTTTTATTTGTCTATCTCGTGTCCGGCTGAACGTTATGCTAAACGAAAATATCTACGAGGCTAGTTAAAAGGCCTCTGTTTTGAAACAAATTCCTTGCTATTGTGTCGATTTTAAGAGAACTTCTGCCGAGCATAGCAGAGGCTCTATACTTCAAAGTTCGAAAACTTATTATTTAAAACATGAACCAGAGAACTTACCAGAGAAAGTTCACTCGAACTAATTAAACTGTTGGCACGAAAAGGCAGTTAGAAAATAAGAATATTTGAGTTGCTTAATATGCATTTTTAGGGGAAATTATCGACCACAACCTGTTAAAACCACATGTTTACTCTTCAAGGCATAAATATTAAACCAAACGTTTCTCGATAAAATAGCCAACACAAAGGACCTGTTCTTTTGTTTCGCTCAGGGGGTCTAGTTCCGCTAACAGTTAAAATAACGATAGCAGGTATCGCTTGAGGGGACTTCAATTTGTCCATGGACCATGTGTTTCACTTAGAATTAATTTCTCGTGGACTTTAGCTCGCCATAAAACATTTCAATCTGTAGTAGGCTTGCTTGTAGTTTTTCTTGTTGTTCACCAAACTGTTGACGCCTTTATTGAAATTTCAATATGACGTTTTATCTTGTCCAGTCACCGTAATTACAGATCTCGATACAAGAACTGTAAAACTGAATTTCACTCTATCACGGACCTCGCTTGGGCTCCCCATCGTGACGTGAAATTCACCCGAGGCTATATTGATACCATTTAAAGCTGTCTGATAATACCTTTTTTAAATGCATTTCTGAAACTTCCAAATGGCTTTTTTTCTAAAACACTCTGCAAGTGACAGACTTTTAATGTATGTGCTAATTCTCATTGACATAATGGCTGGGCTATCATATGATGCATAAATTACCGTTTTCCCCGGGGAGCGAATAGATTTTACCCACTGGAGAAAATGGCGTTAGCAGCGGGGGACCTCTTCTATAATCTCTGGCTGAAGAAGTGATAAGTTTAAACTTCGTCTTCCAGGTCGCGACTTGCCAAAGGAAAAATTCCTGGGTTCAAAAGCACTTTAGTTTAACTATGTCACTGACGCAAAAACTGCACTATTTTAAAAGTGCTTTTCAAAAGATTGTATTTACCAAAATATAACTGGTTTGAAACAGAGGGCGGGCACAATACAGTTTTGTTAATAGATTGTAATTACACTTTTTATCCGCTGCACGTTCCAACAGCTGTATCCAGGGCGTTTATTTTGTCTCAGGTCCCCCTGTGAAACAATTAATGGCCAAAATCACGCAAAGAGGTGATGTTTTTTCTTAGCACAGCAGGACTTGGCTATTTTTTTTGCTCCGTTTTAAATCTCTCGCTTAACACTAGGCAGGCGAGCGAGCTGCTCATAAAAACACGCGATAAATATATTCAGCGAGTTTAAACCAAATTTCATACTCTTTAAAAGGTAAAGAAGAAAGGCATTAACTATATTGTGTGTTGGATATTCATGACAAACTCGAGTGGAACTGTTTTCATGTAAATTGTTATATTGTAGCTTACATTAGAAACATGCAACGGATAAATATACTGGCACTTTGGAGAAAATTACAGTTATGAGGCAATTTAACGTTTTCAAATGCTGGCAACTGAATTTACCACAAAGTTATTTACATACAGGCTTTTTGGCTTGAAAGGCGTTATTCACTTAGAATAATGTAAACACAACACACATGCAACGGTTAAATATAACTCTTAGTTACTATCTATAGTCTCCACTTGAGGTAGCAAAAAAATAAAATATTGACATATCACATAACCGTAAGATATGAATTGCAATATATTGTTTGAAACAAATATTTGTCCAGAGAATTTACTGGGAACTGCTAAAATGTTTGGAAGAGTAACAAATGTGAACTTCAGGCGAATGTTTAAAATAATCTTCGCTTCCTTAAAACTGAGTACTTCTAAGCCATTCAAACAAATAGCGAATAGACGCTGCCAGGCAATATACAAAGCGGATGTTTGTGGAGCCACAAAGTTGAATCGCTATCATAGATTTAATCTCAACCGACGGAAGGGAAATATTGCTTTGAATTAACCAAACTGTTGCAAATCGCTTCGAGATTTGAAAGCCTGGAAATTTTTCACGACACAGGGAAATTACGAGCTTTACGCGAAATTCTGTCTTTTCAAAGGTTAATTCTGCACCAACGACACGCCCTTTTGCAGCATTTCAGTATATGTAGTATCGCTGCATTAATTACAAGCCACAAACTTTAAACTTAAATAATTCAATGAAATATTCCACTCAAAGCTAAACTCTCCGTTATGTTTATAGGAACAAAGACGATTTTTGAACATATTTGACCAAATTCTCTCCTCCAAATAAAATTCAGTAGAATGTTTTCTATACGTCGAGGGGAACTAAAAGGTTTCCACTCGGGGGAGACTCCCATATCAAAAAGACGGGGCTTTTGGTATCTCTCAGGGTGATCAGCCTCAGAAGGTCCACAACAGGAGCTTTTGCGGCACGTTTTAGGATACTGAGCCGAAAAAAAATAGGACAAGAGATAATGTGTTGTTTTAGAATTGGTACCTCTTGGGGGGTGAAAAACATTGCAAGCCACGCCCACAAAACAGGATCTTGGCGTCTCTTAGTGTTTTTTTTTTTTCAAAATTACCTACGAGTACCACCATCCTTTTATATGTGAGTCCCCCCGGGTTTCTATTACAAGTTTCTGTGCTAGAAATATAGTGTTTTGCTAATGTAGTAATGCAATACCTTTAATCGTATGAAGAGCCCTCATTCTGTAAAAGAAAACGTAAAGTGTATATGGTTCAAGCCGGTGTCGTTACTGTCTTTTCTTCCTTGGGAAATTGTTATCAATAGATTCGTGGAAACGATCTAAGAGCTACATTTTCCCATGTATTCAGCGTTCTGTTAAACTATTCTAACACAGTGAATCTACCCTAGTCATTGAAAATTTCTATTCAACATTCGAACATGGTTAATAGAGGGAATGGTTATGAAACCTGGCAAAGTTCTCTGTTGTATGTTTTTGTTAGCTATTTTGGAGGTTGACCCTACACAAAACCTGGCAAAACACAAAAGGTGATTACGTGTGGTCATACAACTAACCAATAGGAGCGTTGCAATTATGTAATTCATGCACAGTCAATCAGCACAAAACAAGACATGCAGGGTCAGTCAGAGACCTTCCAACATAAATCTTAGCCTCTTTGATTTGCTTCTTTGATGTTTACCGAGTTTCTTAACCATTCCCTCTATTAACTATGATTCGAAGTTGTTTTAAATCTAAAAAGCTCTAAAAGTAAGAGGTACAAGAGAAAAAGCTACTTATAACTTGAACAGGAAGCCACGCCCAAACTGTTAAAGTGATTTCTTGAGCTTCGGAGCGATGAAACTCTTCATGAAGGCCGATAAGGTTGGCGGGATACCAGCGTTGGCCCTACTTTTGGAAAGGGTCGTGTTTGCAAAGGATATCTGTTTGAAATGAAATATAACTTGGTTAAGACAAGCCTGTTATTCTAAATGCCATTTTGCTCTCATTTAATTCTCTTGACCCACCTGGGTATTCGAGATAGGAACCATTAAGGAATTTTCCCGCGAGTTGAATAAGGTCTTGCGTCTTTTGGTACAGTCTAACATGGAGGAGATTTCAGTGCTGCTTGTCCTGCAATCTGAGTTGGACTGCTGGTCAGCTGGAGCTAACACCTCGCGCACACTCGAAGTAGGTTTTCTAAATGAAGACAAAAAAGTAATAATAATAATAATAATAATAATAATAATAATAATAATAATAATAATAATAATAAAAAATTGCTTCTCACTTGACAAGCCAGGGTGCATTCATTTATTTATTTTATAAAAAATATCTACTTTTACTGAAGAAAAAACACGCCAGCCCGTAAACAGGAAGTAATGCAGTATTTGCCCTATTTTGGTAATATTTTTTTACGCTGACTCTGAAATTCTTTAAATGTCGCATTAAAATTTTTAGCATATCTGAAATTTAGAACGGGAACAGAATTTTTTCGATATTAAGCCAACAGAGAAACATCCCGTGCAGACACAATAAATTTTGAAACCAAAAGACACTACGCGATATCAGTATTAAACCTTAAAGACTTAAACACAATTGCCATCCGTTTTGTTGTTTATTTTTCGCGTGATTTTCAGATATTTAAGCGATATTGTTGCCATTCCAGCGATACATGTGAACAAGATTGGAAATCTAAAAAAAATTGGAAAAAAACGAAAAGAAAAACAAAAAAAACAACAACAAAAAAACATGCTATTTGGTAGTTGTAGATCTTCGGAAAAAATGGTGTATCTTTGAAGTCAGAGTATGCCAGAACTCTAGACGAAAACCTCTGTTCTTTTTAATTTCCAACGCAGGATTTTCAGAATTTTCATGTTCGAGTTGAAAGGAAAGCGTCATTAAAATCACTTAATGGTAGTCTACTTGATGAAAACGATCTGTAAAACACACTTTAACTGAAGATGTTGCATAACGTTTCAGACCCGCGGCAGTTCTTTCACAGTTGTAGTTGTCCCGGAATGCGATTTGACGCCAATTTGTAATTGTTAGTTGTTAACGATCAGTTATTGTGCAGCCATGTTGGCGTCATCTCAGCGTGTTAAACTTTCGAAACAGACGAAGGAATTCACAGCCGACAATGGGCTTGTCACATAGCTATGGAGATAAAATAGATTCAGGACGTCACAAGATCGTTAAAACGGAAGCGAGGCTGATAGATATGGGGTTTTAAAAATGGTGAACGGAAACAAGTTAAAGTTTAGCCTTCTCCTGGCATAATTTCCTTTAGAAAATTTAGGCAAGAACAAAATGATTTGTTTACCTTTTCTTTCTGCTTTTCAGCTTTCCATCAGGTGCGTTTTCCTTCGAGGACGCCGCTGCTAGGACGGACACTCCAGCGGGATCCTTCCCGTCTCTTCTCGATCGACCCGTATCCCGAGACGTGGATTTGGCCGTCTGTCTTGTTAAATGCGTGTTATTATCCGCTTCAATGGTGTCTGAGCCTTGTTTCTTCGACGCGCTGACATCATCAACATCTTGAAACAGCTGTCCAGAGGGTGCAATGTCTGTGTTGTCGTCTTTTTCGTTCGGGTGGAGTCCATTTTGGCATGCGGATTTTTCCTCCTCTAAATCTTTATGTAAACAATTATCAAAGATCGTTTCTTCCAAGGTGCTGATCCGATTAACATTTAAAGCCAGTCTCCCTTGGTCCGACGTATAATCTCTGGGTCGTTCGCCCTGAGGGGATGTATTACCCTCATTCAACCTTCCCAGCACTTCCGGTTCCGGTTGCTGAGATGTTTCGTCACTGGCTGGTGTGAGTGTCGTGACCTCTCGTGATGGGCGTGGCTGGTCAACAAGGCTATCGATTTCACGCGATGACATGTCGCTTTCACGCAGTAACTGATCAGTCTCCGGTGTTGATTTGTCCAACATGGTAGGTTCACGACCTTTTAAATCCCAGCCATCGGGTTTACATTTTTCCGTCACCGCAGTCTCGACCACGGAATCCTGTCTCTTTTGTCTGGTTTTAGTGCCAAGTGCTTTTCTTTTCTCTCCCTTCTTGGTGTCGAGTTTAACTCCAGAATGACATTCTTTCGCCCTGCTTCTCAAAACTCTTCCACCTTGACTTTCGTTTGACTTGACTGCGCACTTCTCTTGAATTTCGCCTTCATCTTCTTGAATTTCTCTTTCCGCCGACTTAATCTGTTTCGCTTTACGTTNCCGACATGGGCTTACTTAGATTAACGATCCTAAAGTAAGATGGTTTTGGTATTTCCTAGAGTGCTCAGCCTGAAAAGGTCCACAACAGGAGCTTTTGCAGGACCTTCTAGGGTATTGAGCCAAAAGAAAATATGACGAGATGTTTTGTTTTAGAAATGAATTGGCATCTCTGCGGGTGAAAAATATTTAAGTCACACCTACAAAACAGGATATTGGAACCTCGTAGGGGTTCTTTTCAAGATTTTTGATGAGCATCCTCATCCTTATCATGTGAGAGTTTACCCGGAGCAAATTCTTTTGATTAAGAGTCCTATCCTACAGAACTTGTTTCACAAGTGCTTAGAGGCTTGTTCTGCTGATTTCCAATAAAAGTGTTAAAGGTGCAAGCTTCTAAAGGGCTCTGAGACCCATTCTCTTCCAGAAAATGCTCTGGATTTGAACTTCTCAAGTCCCCTTTCTTGGGTTTCAGAGTCATTCTGACAACTCTAACCAATTTCCGTAAACTGCAGACTGCCAGGGACAGGCTTGTACACAATAGCTTCAACCTGCCTAACGATCTTTATTCTCAACACATCGTTGAGAGGACTTACATAAGAGGTTTAGTGATACATGCAAGCAGCATCACAAGACAGTACTAGCACTTGTAGACATGACATACTCACACATTTTTATTGAACATAGCTCTATAATTACAACAAAAAGGAGAATATTCTTTTGCTTGCATATAATTAATTACATGTCTGCACTGAAACTACTGTTCAGCACACCTTGAATGCAAATACAATGCCAGAAAGACCCATTTTAGGAGATGCAAAACATAGCATTCACTGGCATTATTGTTATTGTTTATTTCTGGAAAAATGGAGAGGGTAAAACTGGGAAAATTGATCACAATGTCACCACTTGCCAGGATATTCCTCTGCACAGAAGAATGTTCCCAACTGATGTTTTCTTGGCTTGTTCTGCCTTTCCTAAAATGGCTATTCAGTCAAGAGAACAGGTACTGTCTCTGCAAATTGAGTGAGCCCATAGCTATCATTTGTTGAAGTTGCCTGGCAACAACACATGTTCATCAATCCCTAGCAACACATTTTGTTAAATCAGCATTCCTTCCATCAATCTCCTTTGTAGTTGCTATGGATTAGTTTCCAAGGATCATATGACAAGCCAAAACAGCGGCTTCAACGAAGACAGCCAAGTGGCTCAATCAACATAAACATTCTAAAAACTAAAGCTGGATCTATTGTCTTCGATTGGAGATTATAAGTGAAGTTTAAAATCTTTGGGCAGTTTCCATGAGCATTTTCACCAAAAATAGTACTTGCTTCTTGACATCTTACTGGCTACTTTCAAAGTAAGTCTATGTTGTTTAACAAACCTTGATTTCAAAACAATAATTATAATAATTTCTCATCACTGGTGCAAACCCAACCATCAAATCTAAATGTGAAAATGGTTATTGAACAAAACATGTGTGAATTCAGCCTCATGGCCAGATGTTGTTTGGCTATAAGGTTTTCAACAATTTCCGAAAAGGTTTTAAGAATAGAAACTTTGCGTAAGACAGCATGTTCCTAAGAATTACAAAATGTTCTGAATGATTTTTCTTTTTGTTTAACAAGTGAACTCCATATAAAACTATGCCCTTACCCTTAAGGTTACTCTTAAGTGTAAATTGTCACCAAAGATCACTGACTGCCATGCTCTTAGATTAAAGTATTACTATGAATAAAGTTGAAATTAAATTTGCTATTTTTTGCGAAGTGTGGTTTTAATCAACAATCTCTCAATTCAACAATAGTTTATTTTTAATTTGCAATACAGCAAATTCTATTGAACACACTAAAACAGTGTCATCAATTTAACATACAATGCTTTGGTACCAGTTTACTCTTTCGAAAATCTAACTGCTACATTTAAATTTAAAAAAAAAAAAAGAAAGTAGATATCAGAGGAGTGATTAGTAAAGGGAAAGATATTAAGTCTACAATTCGCTGTCTAATATATGTTGCACCATTTTGTCAAGATGTAGGATAGAAGTGACCGTCAACATTTCAATCATTGGAAACTCCCACTTATATCCCTTCCCAGAAGAAAGTCTGTGTTATTTTGAAACTTGGAAAGACGTATAAAATGGGAGTCCTTAATATCATTTTTTGCTGGTAGGAGTATTAAGTAACTAAAACCAAATGGTTTGTAGTCCAGTGTCTTTGATTAGTTACTAACAACATCCACCGCCGCTTGGCTTAACTGGCGTACTAGAATTGATTTTGACGTTACTAGTTCCAGGTTGAGCCGGCGCTGGTCCCATACGATTCTTTATTTCTGCTGCCATTGTCATAAAAGCTTGCTCCACATTTGTGGCATTCTTGGCACTTGTTTCCAAGAATGGTATTCCCAGGGAGTCTGCATATTCCTACAGAGAGAAATGTACAGTATTGCTTTGAGAATTGATTTTGCACAAACTTGGCAAAAAGAGAGGAAAAAATGTTCTCACTGAGCAAGTGAATAATGCCTTACCCTGCATGTACCAAAACAGTTACAAGGAAGGGCTAGGCAGGAATTCACTAATAATTCACAACTGAAAAGCCACAACTGTGCCTAGTGTTGTTGCCAGGTGAGACAAGTTGGGAAAAAAGAGCCACAAACAAAAGGGCTTTTTCTTTAATATTCTTGTCACTTCCCAAAAACCTTACAAAACAAACCACCATTAGGACTTTCTTTAACTTGAATACAAAAATATTAATATTGACATTTCTCTGGAAATTTGCTTGAATAAAGAACTGTATTAAAAAGAAACAAAATACACACCAAAGAGGGAATGACAGAGAATTTCTGTGCACTCAAATTTGATGCACATCTCTTGAATTTATATACAGTTGAACCTCTGCTAATGAACACCTTCTGTAGGCAAACACCTCCTGTAAGCGGACACAGTAATGGTTCCAACCACATACAAACACTGCATTTTTAACCATCCATAACCAGACAAATCTCTTAAAGGGAACACGTTTTCTGGTCCAGAGCATGTCCGCTTATGGGAGGTTCGACTCTAGTTATTTACAGTACCTTTGCTGTTGTGAAGTCCACTACTTTCTTTGTTGTAAGATCAGACTTGTTCCCAACAAGTAGTTTATTAACATTTTCACATGCATACCGGTCAATTTCTTGTAACCACTGCTTGACGTTGTTAAACGACTCCTGAAATTTAACAACACAAATTGAAGTTTAGGTGAAATCACTTTACAACAAGAATTGAAATATTGTATTTTCAATATTGTAATATTGTAAATATTTCAGAATGTAAGAGCAAAATAAAGTGAAGTTGAAGATGAACAAACAAAAGACCCTCTTTAACACATACATGTAGAATTCAATTCTATGTGACAACAAGGACTGACAAAAATTTAGAAATACTAAAAGGTGCTTGGAAGTAATTCTAAATTTGTTACTCAGACTGGTTACATAACCAAGAAGAAATTTGGATACAAATGCAAAATGGCTCTTCCTTTTTTGTGAGCCTATTCCATCAGAACATTACAAACAAACAATCCTACTTCACACTGAAAGAGTTACCAACCACAACAAGCACTGTCTTATCTTTAGAAGAAAGTAGGCTGAAAATGAAAAAGCTTACATGATATGTAGGCCTGGGACAAGGCTAATTGACGTGCAGTAATTAGATACCACAACAAACTATGGACCACAAAATGGTGTAAACTTGACAGGTACTTGACTTTACCCAACAAATAGTGTGTACGAAAAAACACATCCAAAATAATATTATTGCACATAATAGGGGACTTTGACCCACTTATATGCCATTCTCTTTTTCAAACGACTTAAAATACACCACTGCACTTCAGTTTACAGGATGTTGCATGCACCTTTGCATGCTGATGAAATGACTCAGCAACAAATGTTAACCATTTGGATGCAAAAAGGTCAACATGTATTATATGAATGCAAATCCATACAGACAAAAGTTAAACAGTTTCGCATGGCTGTAAGAGCGACACACTAAAATTTACAAACTCACAACAATAAGTCAAGCACCTCGTCACTGTGCACCTTAACAAAGTCATTGTGAGTAAGCAATGGTTATGTGTTTTACCTGGTCTGTAACATCATAAACGACTATAATTCCGTGAGCTCCTCTGTAGTAGCTAGAGGTTATGGTACGGAATCGTTCCTGACCTGCAGTGTCCCACTGAAAAAAAGCAAATCGAATCATTATCAATGTTGATGCACTAAAATATCGTAATTTACAGCCGAGCAAAGTACAATGCGTTTGAACGACGTAATGGTTTACTTCTATGTTCCTTTCCGATCGATTTAAATTGTATTTTATATGAAATTGAAATGGATTGCAACCTTATCACCCTTTTCATTGTACTTACAATTTGCAGCTTTATCGTCTTGCCATCCAATTCTATGGTTCGTATTTTCTACGTAGGGAAAACAACAAAATAAACACAAAATTAGAAGTAATTACGCATCCCTCGTTTTACCCTTAAATCGCGCAGTAGAAAGTCCATAATAAGCCCCTTAAACGTGGAAAGATTAGTTTATACAACTTACAAAGTCGACACCAATTGTGCTGATGTAGCTTTCTGTATATGTATCATCCTGTTAAGGCAGAAAAACAACAGCGAGGGTTAACAGCGATTGGAATAAAAGCCAAAACCGGTAACCGGTCAGACATCACTGTCGTTGGGAAATATTAGGCAATACTCGTCAAAAGAACAGGAAAATGCGAATACCAACCGCGAACCGAAGCAACAAGCATGATTTTCCAACACCAGAGTCTCCGATAAGTAGAAGCTTGAACAAATAATCACTGTAAGTAAAACAGAGTAGAAATACGTTCTGTAAGAGAAAAATTCCAAATGACACGTCGAATCATCCCTGGTTGAACTCGAAACCCTGCCACAGGGAAACAGTGTACATAGCATAATCTTAAACCTACTATTCGGGATTCATAGTGGACATGTTAGGTTGTCTCGCTCCCAGTTGTGTTGGTCGTTGATTTAGCTTTGTGCCAAGCTAAATTGTAAATGAAATGATGTACAAATACCGGCAAATATCTTGCTTTTTCGGTGAAAGAGGAAGCGAGCCACTAAGCTCAGCTTGGCGTGGTGCTAACAATAATCCTTGGAGGGGGATGAACAAATTGCTCTTCACCATGACGTCATGTAGCAGTAGGACGACGTGGCAAAGTTGACTCGTATCTCGTGACTTCCGACGAAGTCGTAGCTCGGAACACGTCGGTCAATTTGACGGCTTTTTCGATGCACGCGAAAAAATATTTGATCGATGTACGTAAGAACTCCATATTTATGGCATCTAATAATAACAAAACTGAAATTTTCTCAATTCGTCGTTCTATTTTTATCACAGGTGGTAAAAACAAAAGTATGTCAATTAATCAGCATTTAGGATTAATTCTCTTAGGGACGGAACATTATTTTTGAGGAGGAGGGCGCGGGCAGGGGGTTGGGCAATTTTCTGGGGCGTGAAATTTTTTCTCATGCACCTTTAGGTTGTGGGTGATATTTTTCGTGGGCAATAGCTAGTGCAAGGATATTTTTAACATCAAAAACAGGACCTGATTGTAGTAAGCAGGATTTTTTCCTAGCAGTTTTTACATGTACACTGCGTTGGAAATTGCCAAACCATCCCCCCCACCCCGCCTCCCCTCTCTCAAAAAAGAAAATAATGGTCCGTCCTTTACAAGCCACAATATCATCTAAGTTTTTTTGCTGTCGTTTCCTTCCTGCATGCGAGTGTTTGTGATGCTCGACACAAGCATCACCGTCGATAACTCTCAATGGTATTCGGCTTGGATTCCTACCCAAGCAATCTCAGAAATACTCGTTCCTTTATCTGGAAAAATAGTCCTCCTGTCCTTCTGCAACTACTCTAGTTTTCTCTCTCACCTTACATGTACACGCACTGTCTGTGAACTTGGAGTCGGTCTTGAAAACAGGTTATTTTGTTTCCGTAGGAGGGAAAAATGATCGCGTTTGGAGATATCGCTGATTGTAGAACTGAATAAGAGGTTGAGTGGGCGTTTTCTAGCCTGGTGTGTAAAACGAAGGAAGACGGGGAGGGAGAGTGTGGATGGTAGGAGGGGGAACTTTTCGTTTCTCCTACCCCTTCCCTGTTTACTCCTGCAACGGGGCCATCGGTTACGTTCAAGGAGACTCAGCCGTAAAAATAGGTTCTTCTCTAAACTCGAGAAGAGCAAAAACAACAACAACAATTTGTTACTAATAACAAATTTATTTACGTAATATTCTGGCCTTAGCATTACATTAAATTACAGTTAAATATACTTAATTCCAAAATTATCTAAATTAATATTCCGACCTTGAGAGCCGTTTTTGGAATGGTCATAGTAAAATATTAGGGTTCTGTCTACAGGCTTTTAAACAGATATTCATTAAACTATAAACAAAATATTACTTCCGATTATAAGCTTCCCCTGGATATAAGCCCCCCTCCAGTTTAAAATGAATTGAATCAGGAGCCATAATCGCGGACGCCGTCCCCGATTATGGCTCCTGTCGGGGACGGAGACCGTAAGCGCGCGCCATTTCTAGTATTAGGGTTGTGATTGAATTCGATTTATTATGATGTTTTAAAGTTTAACTAAAAACCAGGATATGAAAAACGTATTTCGATCAACACTGCTGTAGCTCATCTTGAATTTTTTTTTTTTTCATATCGCTTATAAGCCCCAAGGATATAAGCCCCCCTCTCCCCCCCCACCCCCACCATTCAAAACCTCTTACGAAATTGTATAAGACCAGGTTTTATAAGCAACAGTTTACGGTATAATGGTAATTGAATATAGTATTACAAGAACCCCTAACATGTAAGTGCTAATGGCAGCGAAGGAAGTCTTTTTCACTATTCTGTCAACTTTTTCACGAGTGCCTCTGCTTCACCAACCGCATTGCCGTCGACAACATACTTCTCGACAAACGAGTCATCGAAACAACTCGTTAAGTAAATTCTGGAAGGCGCTTCCTCTACTCTGTGAACCTTGTACACCTCATAAGGCGGAAGAAGAACTTCGTCCTCCTCAGGATAAGCGGACAACATTTTAATCGATGCTCCAATTTTGGTAACAATAACGAATTGACTCCCTGTTGAATTTTTCTGGAAATCTTCTGCCACTGAAATATTCCCTGTAGTCGAAGTGTACGAACCAAACCGGACTATCTGGCCAGGTTCGGCGGCAAATTTAACAGTGACACCCCTGTAAACAATTCTTGTCCGATTTTCTTTGGGCGTGGCGGCGAGGATTTTTCTGCAAGCCTCTCGTAGCAGGTATGATAAAATTGGAAAATCCATGCCATCACCGGTATATCCTTTTCTTGTGTCGCCGTTGAAATGGCGATAAACCGGTGGTTTTTCAAGCGTGTAACAAATAACGGCGAAAATCTCGTCTTTTGTCAAGCCAGAGCGGCCTAAATTGGCTTCGATTGTCTCTCTCGCTTCGAGCCATTTCTTAAGCGTTTCCTCGTAACCTGCATGAATGAGCGCATTCTTTTTGCCCTCATATTCAAGTCCTCGTCTCATCATTGTCACCATGATCTCACCGGGGAAGGATACAGTAAAGCTACTCTCTGCGAGCCCCATCTGTACCACGTGCGCAAAGCTCGAAAACCTGTTGTATTCATTCTCCAGGTTAACAACTGGATGCGTCACTGTCAAAGGAAGGAACCCTTCTGGAGGGGGGTAAACGAAGGGGTTCGTTTCGGTCCCTAGGTTGATTTGCACCCTCTCTCCTCTCATGAGGGACATGCATGGGTAAACAGCTCCCTCGAATGTAACTCCAGAGAAAGCGCACCCCATTTCACCCTCCCAGTCGCCATTTAAGCCAAAGCTCACTTCTTTGTCCTCTAAATTGACAGCCAGGCTAATTATATCTCCCGCTTTCCACCGTCGTCCATATTGTTCCTTCATGTTGTTGTGCCACTTCAAACGTCTCATACCATCGTATGCCCATGAATGCGCATCGTCGCCACAGCCCTTTCCTTCATCAGCGACGGCTCTGAAGCTCTCATCCGCCCATCCCAGCTGCATATACCCGCCTGTGTTAGTTTTACATTCAAAGTAAAACCTACCCTGCTTCTGTCGCAGCGGTTTCATTACTACTGTAGGAGCAGCGCGTTGGGCGAAGATTTCAATCGGTGGTCCCTCCAGAATGATGGCTGCCTCTTGATAATTTTCTGCTCCTTCGACCGCAGCAAGCGATTTAAAATCACTGATTTCCATGGCGTTACGACTAGATTGTTTTGGTGCAGCCTGCAAGTTAAATTAGCTCGTACTCAAAGATGCTTGACTCTTCGTTCTACGATAGTTCAGTAAGTTTATGGTTGCACATGCTTCCACAATATAATATTTCCTCGTTTCGTTCCCAGTAAGTGTTATTTCCAAGTTCTGCTCGGCTTTGTACCGGAACCAGACCGTACTTATCCACACTAAAAGTCTTAAAGAAGTGAAGTTTCTTCGGAAAAACCACCAAGCTTGTGCTAATGACAGACTACTATTTTCTCTTACTGTTGTTATTAATCTCTTCTTTCATTTGTTCTATTGTTTACTTTTATTTTGTTATCCCCTTGGCGATCATTGGAAGTGATGCATAACTAATCAATCATTTACACATTTTAATCATATAGGGCGGTTTTGACTTGAGTGGCAATCACTGCGAGTCACATAACTTACCCATAACTAAAACATTTCTATAATCATATTCAGGGTTTTCAGTTGAGTGTCGAAAAGTACTTGGTGTTGCGCTACCAAGCTACGCGATTGGCTTAAAAAACTCGCGCCACTTTTTCATCCAATCAGACTGAAAAACCCAAAACTAATCGTGGCTATTCGTACACGTTTTCCCGCGCTTAGCGACAGCTGCATGTAGTATTTAATTCGAGTTTTGATTGGTTCACTGTATTGTTATACTTTGGTTTTGGTTTTACGACACTCGGTTGAATAACCCCTCTATTTTACATACATCATAGCTTTTGTCATTGATTACAAATGCGCTCATTCTCTCCCGTCAAGTGACACCTAAAAGAAAATCCTGCCACGCAACTCTCTCAGACTAGCCCGAAACAAGTTGCATCAAACAGTGTTTGGTAGCGAACGCTGTACGCGGTTGGCTCAAGAAGATGCGAACTAAGTCGCTGTTAAAAAAAACGGGTTAAGAAGGTAAGACCCAGTTATGCTTAATGCCATGCATGATAGCAGCAGCTAGACTTCATGTGGCCGTACCCATTTTCCCCCGTGGAGAACAGTTTCTCCTGTTTTTCTGTGAGTCGATGTCATGCTATATTTTCTTGTGAACTGTAATCTCAAGGAGTCAGTTTAATATCAAGGGAAAGATTATACAAGCTGACCAACTTTAATATTCAAGATTTATTTACAACAATAGAACGTGTAACTTAACAAGACAATTGCTCATCACATTTTCTACGGTTAATTTTACACGACTAAACTAAAATCAGCGTGGTATGTTCATAAAACGTCAGAAGGCTAACATGTTTCCTCAGTGACTGTCATTCAACTGTACAATTATTACGTAACTTATTCAATCGATCTGTGGGTTGTTCTTGAAGAGATACTCCGCCTGACAAAGGAAGGAAAACAAAAGCATTAAACTGCTGACACGCGCCTTAAAAGCAACCTCAGAGTTAGCACTAAATTCTCTCGCCAAGTGGATCTAATTTGTTAGTTTGTTTCTTGAAATCGTAGTCATCAGTTTTCAATTGAATGTCGTAAAAACAAAGCAATCACTCTAGCCAATCACAAAGTTGAACTTCTGATTGGATGAAAAAAGTGGCGTCAGATTTTTTAAGCCAACCGCTTATCTTTTGGTAACGCAAAACCAAAACACATGCAAATTACTTTCCACACTCAAGTGAAAACTGCTCTAATTTTAAAAACTTGTTTTCTTGAAATTCAAATCTGCTTCTCGACCTTATGACTCAAATTCAAACAGATCGTGGGGACAAATAATGCCTCTTCAACACGTCCCCAAGTGTATATCGAACTTTACCAATAAGAGCTTACCACAAAATCAACTGGATCATCAGGGCGCATTTTACAGCACTCTATAAGGCCTTGCGCAAGTGTCGGCATAACGTGCTTCATGAGATAGTTCCTCAATGGAATGGACTGATTTTCTAACAACTCTTGCTCTTGGCGTTTGACCTCCGACAATCGCACACGCTAGAAAAAGAAGGCACAGCAAAACTATCTTAAAACAAAGCACTGGCTCCTGGACGAGAGGACGGTGTGCTCGTCGTGCCGTTTAGGGGCTAAAAAAGCGGTTTTGGCAACCCTTAGGGTATTCAGCCTCAAAAGGTCCACAGCGGGAGTTTTCGCGGTACCTTTTAGGGTATTGAGGCGAATAACGTCGATTTCAGTTAATGTGTTGTTTACGAATTGGTACCTCCTTGGGGTGAAAAAACATTTTTCAAGTCACGCCCACAAAATAATTTCCGATGGGCATCCCGTCCTTTCTACAAGGGAGATTCCCTCCCCCGTGGATGACAGGAACTAAAAAAGTTGGGGCTAAGCACAATGGCGAAAATAGACCGACAACGGTTTTCATTTTCCCCATTGTTAGTCATCCCAACTTTGACGTGATCAAATGAAAACTGCTATTGACGTGAATTCGACCTCTCCCTTCTGTTTGTTCGCAAACTCCAGCAGGTTTTTGTCGACTCTCGAGAGCTGACAACGCTAAAATGAAGGTGCCAAAATTTTGGTGAGAGCTGACAGAAAACGCGCGCGCGATTGAGTTCCCGTGGTTTCGTCTTACCCATTCTTCTTCTCTTCGTTGTCGCTCAGCGGCTTCCTCGGCATCTCGTTTCTCCCGCTCTTCTCTTGCTTTCCTTTCTTTTTCAAGCTGTAACAAAAAAGCGAGGTTTATATAGCAGCTGTAGGAGTCATGATAAGAAAACTTAGGTCTTCCAATATTAGAGAAGTGAGCATGCGATCAAGTATGTAGTTCTGGCGGGAAAAAACATGGGATAACACGTGGTAGCTCCTCACGTGTGAACCAAATCATTTTTGGCGGGAAAAACCTGAGAGCCATCGTCTTTTTCCACGAAAACATTGCCATCTCTCAAATCTTTAGAGGGTGAGATAGTTTACTTTACATATTAGCGCAAAAAGATTTTAGAGCATTAAAATCACAACGTACTCGTTTTTCAGTTTCAATTCTTTCCATTTCCGCCAACTCTTCCGGTGTAGGACCTGATTGAAAAGCAAATAAATAAAATGAAATTCTGTATTTAACATGGTGGCAACATTATAGATTCTTACGGCACTGCTTCAACTTCGACGCTTTTTCTAGTATCTAGAAGAAGAGAGGATCAGTTGTGTTGGTCGTTGATTTAGCTTTGTGCCAAGCTAAATTGTAAATGAAATGATGTACAAATACCGGCAAATATCTTGCTTTTTCGGTGAAAGAGGAAGCGAGCCACTAAGCTCAGCTTGGCGTGGTGCTAACAATAATCCTTGGAGGGGGATGAACAAATTGCTCTTCACCATGACGTCATGTAGCAGTAGGACGACGTGGCAAAGTTGACTCGTATCTCGTGACTTCCGACGAAGTCGTAGCTCGGAACACGTCGGTCAATTTGACGGCTTTTTCGATGCACGCGAAAAAATATTTGATCGATGTACGTAAGAACTCCATATTTATGGCATCTAATAATAACAAAACTGAAATTTTCTCAATTCGTCGTTCTATTTTTATCACAGGTGGTAAAAACAAAAGTATGTCAATTAATCAGCATTTAGGATTAATTCTCTTAGGGACGGAACATTATTTTTGAGGAGGAGGGCGCGGGCAGGGGGTTGGGCAATTTTCTGGGGCGTGAAATTTTTTCTCATGCACCTTTAGGTTGTGGGTGATATTTTTCGTGGGCAATAGCTAGTGCAAGGATATTTTTAACATCAAAAACAGGACCTGATTGTAGTAAGCAGGATTTTTTCCTAGCAGTTTTTACATGTACACTGCGTTGGAAATTGCCAAACCATCCCCCCCACCCCGCCTCCCCTCTCTCAAAAAAGAAAATAATGGTCCGTCCTTTACAAGCCACAATATCATCTAAGTTTTTTTGCTGTCGTTTCCTTCCTGCATGCGAGTGTTTGTGATGCTCGACACAAGCATCACCGTCGATAACTCTCAATGGTATTCGGCTTGGATTCCTACCCAAGCAATCTCAGAAATACTCGTTCCTTTATCTGGAAAAATAGTCCTCCTGTCCTTCTGCAACTACTCTAGTTTTCTCTCTCACCTTACATGTACACGCACTGTCTGTGAACTTGGAGTCGGTCTTGAAAACAGGTTATTTTGTTTCCGTAGGAGGGAAAAATGATCGCGTTTGGAGATATCGCTGATTGTAGAACTGAATAAGAGGTTGAGTGGGCGTTTTCTAGCCTGGTGTGTAAAACGAAGGAAGACGGGGAGGGAGAGTGTGGATGGTGGGAGGGGGAGCTTTTCGTTTCCCCTACCCCTTCCCTGTTTACTCCTGCAACGGGGCCATCGGTTACGTTCAAGAAGGAGACTCAGCCGTAAAAATAGGTTCTTCTCTAAACTCGAGAAGAGCAAAAACAACAACAACAATTTGTTACTAATAACAAATTTATTTACGTAATATTCTGGCCTTAGCATTACATTAAATTACAGTTAAATATACTTAATTCCAAAATTATCTAAATTAATATTCCGACCTTGAGAGCCGTTTTTGGAATGGTCATAGTAAAATATTAGGGTTCTGTCTACAGGCTTTTAAACAGATATTCATTAAACTATAAACAAAATATTACTTCCGATTATAAGCTTCCCCTGGATATAAGCCCCCCTCCAGTTTAAAATGAATTGAATCAGGAGCCATAATCGCGGACGCCGTCCCCGATTATGGCTCCTGTCGGGGACGGAGACCGTAAGCGCGCGCCATTTCTAGTATTAGGGTTGTGATTGAATTCGATTTATTATGATGTTTTAAAGTTTAACTAAAAACCAGGATATGAAAAACGTATTTCGATCAACACTGCTGTAGCTCATCTTGAATTTTTTTTTTTTTCATATCGCTTATAAGCCCCAAGGATATAAGCCCCCCTCTCCCCCCCCACCCCCACCATTCAAAACCTCTTACGAAATTGTATAAGACCAGGTTTTATAAGCAACAGTTTACGGTATAATGGTAATTGAATATAGTATTACAAGAACCCCTAACATGTAAGTGCTAATGGCAGCGAAGGAAGTCTTTTTCACTATTCTGTCAACTTTTTCACGAGTGCCTCTGCTTCACCAACCGCATTGCCGTCGACAACATACTTCTCGACAAACGAGTCATCGAAACAACTCGTTAAGTAAATTCTGGAAGGCGCTTCCTCTACTCTGTGAACCTTGTACACCTCATAAGGCGGAAGAAGAACTTCGTCCTCCTCAGGATAAGCGGACAACATTTTAATCGATGCTCCAATTTTGGTAACAATAACGAATTGACTCCCTGTTGAATTTTTCTGGAAATCTTCTGCCACTGAAATATTCCCTGTAGTCGAAGTGTACGAACCAAACCGGACTATCTGGCCAGGTTCGGCGGCAAATTTAACAGTGACACCCCTGTAAACAATTCTTGTCCGATTTTCTTTGGGCGTGGCGGCGAGGATTTTTCTGCAAGCCTCTCGTAGCAGGTATGATAAAATTGGAAAATCCATGCCATCACCGGTATATCCTTTTCTTGTGTCGCCGTTGAAATGGCGATAAACCGGTGGTTTTTCAAGCGTGTAACAAATAACGGCGAAAATCTCGTCTTTTGTCAAGCCAGAGCGGCCTAAATTGGCTTCGATTGTCTCTCTCGCTTCGAGCCATTTCTTAAGCGTTTCCTCGTAACCTGCATGAATGAGCGCATTCTTTTTGCCCTCATATTCAAGTCCTCGTCTCATCATTGTCACCATGATCTCACCGGGGAAGGATACAGTAAAGCTACTCTCTGCGAGCCCCATCTGTACCACGTGCGCAAAGCTCGAAAACCTGTTGTATTCATTCTCCAGGTTAACAACTGGATGCGTCACTGTCAAAGGAAGGAACCCTTCTGGAGGGGGGTAAACGAAGGGGTTCGTTTCGGTCCCTAGGTTGATTTGCACCCTCTCTCCTCTCATGAGGGACATGCATGGGTAAACAGCTCCCTCGAATGTAACTCCAGAGAAAGCGCACCCCATTTCACCCTCCCAGTCGCCATTTAAGCCAAAGCTCACTTCTTTGTCCTCTAAATTGACAGCCAGGCTAATTATATCTCCCGCTTTCCACCGTCGTCCATATTGTTCCTTCATGTTGTTGTGCCACTTCAAACGTCTCATACCATCGTATGCCCATGAATGCGCATCGTCGCCACAGCCCTTTCCTTCATCAGCGACGGCTCTGAAGCTCTCATCCGCCCATCCCAGCTGCATATACCCGCCTGTGTTAGTTTTACATTCAAAGTAAAACCTACCCTGCTTCTGTCGCAGCGGTTTCATTACTACTGTAGGAGCAGCGCGTTGGGCGAAGATTTCAATCGGTGGTCCCTCCAGAATGATGGCTGCCTCTTGATAATTTTCTGCTCCTTCGACCGCAGCAAGCGATTTAAAATCACTGATTTCCATGGCGTTACGACTAGATTGTTTTGGTGCAGCCTGCAAGTTAAATTAGCTCGTACTCAAAGATGCTTGACTCTTCGTTCTACGATAGTTCAGTAAGTTTATGGTTGCACATGCTTCCACAATATAATATTTCCTCGTTTCGTTCCCAGTAAGTGTTATTTCCAAGTTCTGCTCGGCTTTGTACCGGAACCAGACCGTACTTATCCACACTAAAAGTCTTAAAGAAGTGAAGTTTCTTCGGAAAAACCACCAAGCTTGTGCTAATGACAGACTACTATTTTCTCTTACTGTTGTTATTAATCTCTTCTTTCATTTGTTCTATTGTTTACTTTTATTTTGTTATCCCCTTGGCGATCATTGGAAGTGATGCATAACTAATCAATCATTTACACATTTTAATCATATAGGGCGGTTTTGACTTGAGTGGCAATCACTGCGAGTCACATAACTTACCCATAACTAAAACATTTCTATAATCATATTCAGGGTTTTCAGTTGAGTGTCGAAAAGTACTTGGTGTTGCGCTACCAAGCTACGCGATTGGCTTAAAAAACTCGCGCCACTTTTTCATCCAATCAGACTGAAAAACCCAAAACTAATCGTGGCTATTCGTACACGTTTTCCCGCGCTTAGCGACAGCTGCATGTAGTATTTAATTCGAGTTTTGATTGGTTCACTGTATTGTTATACTTTGGTTTTGGTTTTACGACACTCGGTTGAATAACCCCTCTATTTTACATACATCATAGCTTTTGTCATTGATTACAAATGCGCTCATTCTCTCCCGTCAAGTGACACCTAAAAGAAAATCCTGCCACGCAACTCTCTCAGACTAGCCCGAAACAAGTTGCATCAAACAGTGTTTGGTAGCGAACGCTGTACGCGGTTGGCTCAAGAAGATGCGAACTAAGTCGCTGTTAAAAAAAACGGGTTAAGAAGGTAAGACCCAGTTATGCTTAATGCCATGCATGATAGCAGCAGCTAGACTTCATGTGGCCGTACCCATTTTCCCCCGTGGAGAACAGTTTCTCCTGTTTTTCTGTGAGTCGATGTCATGCTATATTTTCTTGTGAACTGTAATCTCAAGGAGTCAGTTTAATATCAAGGGAAAGATTATACAAGCTGACCAACTTTAATATTCAAGATTTATTTACAACAATAGAACGTGTAACTTAACAAGACAATTGCTCATCACATTTTCTACGGTTAATTTTACACGACTAAACTAAAATCAGCGTGGTATGTTCATAAAACGTCAGAAGGCTAACATGTTTCCTCAGTGACTGTCATTCAACTGTACAATTATTACGTAACTTATTCAATCGATCTGTGGGTTGTTCTTGAAGAGATACTCCGCCTGACAAAGGAAGGAAAACAAAAGCATTAAACTGCTGACACGCGCCTTAAAAGCAACCTCAGAGTTAGCACTAAATTCTCTCGCCAAGTGGATCTAATTTGTTAGTTTGTTTCTTGAAATCGTAGTCATCAGTTTTCAATTGAATGTCGTAAAAACAAAGCAATCACTCTAGCCAATCACAAAGTTGAACTTCTGATTGGATGAAAAAAGTGGCGTCAGATTTTTTAAGCCAACCGCTTATCTTTTGGTAACGCAAAACCAAAACACATGCAAATTACTTTCCACACTCAAGTGAAAACTGCTCTAATTTTAAAAACTTGTTTTCTTGAAATTCAAATCTGCTTCTCGACCTTATGACTCAAATTCAAACAGATCGTGGGGACAAATAATGCCTCTTCAACACGTCCCCAAGTGTATATCGAACTTTACCAATAAGAGCTTACCACAAAATCAACTGGATCATCAGGGCGCATTTTACAGCACTCTATAAGGCCTTGCGCAAGTGTCGGCATAACGTGCTTCATGAGATAGTTCCTCAATGGAATGGACTGATTTTCTAACAACTCTTGCTCTTGGCGTTTGACCTCCGACAATCGCACACGCTAGAAAAAGAAGGCACAGCAAAACTATCTTAAAACAAAGCACTGGCTCCTGGACGAGAGGACGGTGTGCTCGTCGTGCCGTTTAGGGGCTAAAAAAGCGGTTTTGGCAACCCTTAGGGTATTCAGCCTCAAAAGGTCCACAGCGGGAGTTTTCGCGGTACCTTTTAGGGTATTGAGGCGAATAACGTCGATTTCAGTTAATGTGTTGTTTACGAATTGGTACCTCCTTGGGGTGAAAAAACATTTTTCAAGTCACGCCCACAAAATAATTTCCGATGGGCATCCCGTCCTTTCTACAAGGGAGATTCCCTCCCCCGTGGATGACAGGAACTAAAAAAGTTGGGGCTAAGCACAATGGCGAAAATAGACCGACAACGGTTTTCATTTTCCCCATTGTTAGTCATCCCAACTTTGACGTGATCAAATGAAAACTGCTATTGACGTGAATTCGACCTCTCCCTTCTGTTTGTTCGCAAACTCCAGCAGGTTTTTGTCGACTCTCGAGAGCTGACAACGCTAAAATGAAGGTGCCAAAATTTTGGTGAGAGCTGACAGAAAACGCGCGCGCGATTGAGTTCCCGTGGTTTCGTCTTACCCATTCTTCTTCTCTTCGTTGTCGCTCAGCGGCTTCCTCGGCATCTCGTTTCTCCCGCTCTTCTCTTGCTTTCCTTTCTTTTTCAAGCTGTAACAAAAAAGCGAGGTTTATATAGCAGCTGTAGGAGTCATGATAAGAAAACTTAGGTCTTCCAATATTAGAGAAGTGAGCATGCGATCAAGTATGTAGTTCTGGCGGGAAAAAACATGGGATAACACGTGGTAGCTCCTCACGTGTGAACCAAATCATTTTTGGCGGGAAAAACCTGAGAGCCATCGTCTTTTTCCACGAAAACATTGCCATCTCTCAAATCTTTAGAGGGTGAGATAGTTTACTTTACATATTAGCGCAAAAAGATTTTAGAGCATTAAAATCACAACGTACTCGTTTTTCAGTTTCAATTCTTTCCATTTCCGCCAACTCTTCCGGTGTAGGACCTGATTGAAAAGCAAATAAATAAAATGAAATTCTGTATTTAACATGGTGGCAACATTATAGATTCTTACGGCACTGCTTCAACTTCGACGCTTTTTCTAGTATCTAGAAGAAGAGAGGAGGGATATGGGACTTAACAATAACAAATAATAACAAATAATAA